GCGGCCTCGGGCCCGGCCGCTGCTGCTGCCTCCTCGGCCGGAGCGGTCTCCTTGGCGTCCTCAGCAGTTGTTTCTGCGGTCGTCTCAGCCTCTGTTTCCTTCTGATTCTCACCTCCTTCTGTGTTTTTCTCCTGCAAATATGATCGTAATATTAGTTATAGAAATAATCTGTCGGAGAATAACATTGCCCTAAAGCAGTATATTACCTGAACTGAAAGGGCTTCAGCTTCAGGCTTGTTATGAACAGAACCCTCCTCCTTCATGTCTGATTCCTTGGGTCTACTGGCACAGCCTCCCATTATTATTATTTTTTTGTTATTTGTTTAAATATTTTTTTCGTGGGGTTGGGCTGTGGAGTATGAAGGAGAAAAAAAAATATCGATCTTTCAGATTCTTATTTTTATTATTGTTAACCCAAGGATGAGGAAAATGCAGAGAACAAGTTAGGGTTTATATAGGTGAAGGCCATTCCGATTTCCATGGAGTTTTTTGGTCTTTTTTCCTTTGAATGTTTCCCATTTGCCAAAATTAGGTTTTCCCGTTTGAATAGGAAACCAAATTAGGGATGTACAGATTCTGGATATATCCTCAAATGAAATGACACGTATGTTTTTTCTATATGTGGAAACTAGCATCTGCTAAAGAAAGAACATCAAATTTTGCTTTTTTATTTTATTTTTCGAAATGGACCAAAAAATCTTCTAACTGGTGGTACGAGGAATTATTCGTGTGATACAGAAGGAGCTTTTAGTCATTTTCAAATTTATAAGAACCCATAAAATAGTGGGAAAAAAATAAGAACCCATAAAATATTGTGTTCGTACCTTTAAGGATTTCTGTTTATACTCTTGTATTTAGGCCTTGAATGGTAGGAGTTTTTGGAGTTTTTAGAATTCAAAAACAAAAAAAATAACATTCAAATTTTTACAAAATTACTTTTCCTAAAAACTTGGAAAACCGTTGGGTTTGAGTCAGCCGCTGCCGGAAAAACCTTTTGTCTGTAAATACTGCATATTTGATTCCATCCATTTTAGTGAAAAAATCAATGAAAAACCAAAAGCTACTATTTTGGAGTTTTCAAATATTATAAAATCCAAAAGCCAAAAACCAAAAACTAAAAACTAAAATCCAAAAACTAAAACCAAAAACCCAAAATAAAAACCAAAAACTCAAAATAAAAGCCATCTCCATTCAAAGTCTTAAATAAGTAATTTTTGTTCTTTATTTAATGAAACGTGAAGAAAACATATTCAACTTTTCGAATTTTTACAACGGAAATATTTTTAATAGGATTTAGAATTTAGCTTCTATAAAATTGTAATTGCGGATTCTAAAATTGAATATACATATATATATCAATATGTATAAGAGAATGAAAAGCCCATTGTATTGGGAAAAATAAGACCGAACTAGTCCAAGATTCGCGGTTGACAGACTGAACAAACAAGGAACCCAGCGAATAGATTCCGGGAAGCTTCCTTATCACCACGTGTCGTTATCTGATTCGTTGTGTGACAAATCCATCATTCAATTCATGACTTCCTAATATACCTCTGCATTTTTACGATATTACTAACCAACCAACGGCGTCCTGTCCTCTACTTGAGGGGTAAATCCGGTAATTCAGTGTCTTCCTCTACGCGGAGTGTACGTGGTTTATGGATTTCCGCGCGTCAACACATCTTCTTCACGCGCTTCTTTATCCTTTCTGACATTTCTTCGTCGCCACTCTTCTCAGGCTTCCAAAAAAAAAGTTTACTTCTTCCTCTCCACTTTACCAATCCAAATCGTGTCGAGTTTAGGGTTTTTTGCACACTCGAATCTACTTTTTTGTTCTTCTGATTCCTCTGAATCGCATCTTTGATCGAATTTAGAGTTCTTTTTTCAGTTCCGTTTTTCGTAGACCCGAATCTGGGTTTTTTTTTCTTATTCCTCGAAATCGCATCTTTGAATCTGAACATGGAAGTGTTGTCGCTGGATTCTCTTCCGGTGGGATTGAGATTCCGACCAACGGACGAGGAGCTTGTCCGGTACTATCTCCGTATGAAGATCAACGGCCATGATGACGACGTCAGAATCATCCGAGAGGTCGATATCTGCAAATGGGAGCCCTGGGATTTGCCCGGTACTATACTCTCTCCCCCCCCCCCCCCCCCCCCCAGAAATTCTAGATCTTTTTTAAAAGCTCAAATCTCTATGTTACTTCTATAACTTTTGATTTTCGTCCCTGTTCTTTGTCTGAGAGCATTAGTGAACATTGAGTCAAATTATTGTAATTCCTGTATGTTTTTATGGAAACTGCCTTAAAATGAGTTGCTTAATCTCAATTTCACTTTAATCCCGTCTTGTTTGGTAATTTGAGTTTAGGGTTCCTGATATAGAAAAAATATATTTCTTCTCTCTCGCGGTGTTATTCTCAAATGTAACATCCACAGATAATTGGTGTTGATGAACCTGACATTAGTTAGATATGAGTTTACCCCTGAATTCTGTGTGGGCGTTTACTATATTTAGTCTACGTTTCCAGTTACACAGCTTCTGATGTGAGTTCTCGTGTGGGTTTCTTGTAGATATGTCTGTGGTAAAGACAAAAGACTCGGAGTGGCTCTTCTTCTGTCCGTTGGACCGGAAGTACCCAAACGGAAGTAGGATGAACAGGGCAACCGTGGCTGGTTACTGGAAGGCAACGGGGAAGGACCGCAAGATCAAGTCAGTTAACAAGAACATTATCGGCGTTAAGAGGACTCTGGTCTTCTACACTGGTCGGGCTCCCAAGGGGGCTCGTACTTGTTGGGTTATGCACGAGTATCGTGCCACTGAGAAGGACCTCGCCGGCACTAACCCTGGTCAGGTAATGTTCCGTGTCATCCGGGCCATGAAGTATCCGGTTTTTCGGTTCTTGTGCTTGCGTTTTGCCATGACCAAACGATGAATCAAGCAACTTGACAATGGGGGGCGGGGTTCAACTGAGTTTTCTGATGTTATTTCAAATCTTTGTTTTCTATTCTGGTTCTTGGATCGTTGGGTACAGAATTCATTTGTCATATGCAAATTGGGTTTAGGGTTTATAAATGTCCTAATCCTTGAAATCGTATTGGTTGGATTTTCTGATGTTATTTGAAATCTTTGTTTTCTGATATGGTTCTTGGATCATTTGGGTACAGAATCCATTTGTCATATGCAAACTGTTCAAGAAACAACAAGACGAGAATGCTACAGCAGAAGATTCGAAGTCTGATGAGGTTGAACCTGCTATCTCATCTCCGACTTTTGCGAAATCTTCCGCTGATGAGCTGAAGTCTGAGAACGAGCTGTCCGAGGTATCTCTAGCCCCAGAAACACTTGACAGAAAGCCTATCATGGTCGCAGAATCTTCGCTGAGAGTGGCTGCAGAGTGTCACAGTGATCAAAGTGAACCTTGTGACCAACCCGCCGAACTTACATCTGCTGAGGTGAGATTCTCGAATAGACAGGATCCTGTCTTTTTCCAATTCATAGGTTATGTGATAATGTGTTTTAACTTATTTTCTTGCACTGATCCACAGATTGAAGATCTCAAATGGCTGCCTTTAGACTCGGAGTTTCTGGATTTCAAAATGTTCTCTCCACTGCACTCTCAGGTGCAATCGGAGCTTGGAACATCTTTCAACGCATTTCAACCTGGCTCGAGTGACTTGTTCAGCAACCACAGTGGCCTTCAAATCCAGACTCAGTATGGCACAAATGATGAAGATTCGTTTATGGCCGAGTTTCTGGATTCAATCCTTGAAAACCCGGATGAGTTGTCCGGCACAGTTGCAATCCCAGAGAGAGGAGAATATGTTTTGCAGAGTGGGTTCTGCAGTGCAGCACCACCGGCCCAAGAGCAGGTTCGTGGGAAATACCCTAAACTCGTACGTCAGTTATACGCTTTCACCGTCAGAAATCATGGTTTTTGACTGCAATAGCTAATCTCGATCGCAGAAAAAACGTGTCATCATTTGGAGCAACAATACTTAACTCGAAATGTACTTCCTCTGTTTGTAGGAAACACTGGCATGCCCTGGTCCCTTGAGCTCAGGACCGGCTGATCATCTCAGCTCAGGAACAGGAATCACGATCAGGCCGAGGAGGCATTCACCAGCTCAATCTTTCATCAACGATTTTGCAGCGCAGGGTACTGCCCCGAGAAGGTTGCTTCTCCAGAAAAGGCTGAATGGAATCAAGCTGGAGCCCGAAAATCAACCAGAACCTCGTTTTATCGAGAAAGAGGTGAGAATTTAGTTTTGATAACCAAAGAAACCAGTACGTTAGGTGCAACAGGGTTTGAAAAGGGGATGATTTGCGCTGGAATCGAATCCATCCCAAACAGCAAAGACAGTAGCTGTTCTTGTCGAACTATTACAAACCCGTTTGGAGTTCTGACCTTTTAACCATTACAAAATGCACAGATTGAGGAAACAACCAGGACAGCCTCGAAGGAGGGGATCGAAAAGGTTAGAACGAAGAACACCGGTTTCATATTCAAGAAAATCTCGTCGATGACTTGCTCCTATGGGGGATTGCTGAGGGCAGCTGTTGTTGCGGTCTTGTTCTTGATGTCTGTCGGCAGTCTGACCGCAGATCTCTTCTGAAGCTACCAAATTCCACGACGTCGGTGACGTCATCTCGTTCGTTTTCCATTGTACATAGAGATAAACCCGGGATCGTTTTCCTTGAAAGCTTTTGGTTTTTTCAGCTGGACCTCTCCGGGGTAGGACCGGTAGTAGGTAGCTGTGTGTATGTAATTTAGAAGTAGTAGAGAGAGATGGATGTATGGAGAAGATGACAGGAGATCAAACCACTTTGTTCTTAGGGTTCTTTCTTAGGACGAGACCTTTGATGAACATGGAGCTTTCGAAGCTCGGTGGGTTGCATGTCCATGGTGAACTTTCTGATATTTTATGGATGATTTTGAACATCAACCCTTTCTCTTTTTTCTTTTCCGCGAAGAGACCGAATAATCTGGTGGAATAATAGATCGAAGTGAATATGGATCGAATATTTTTCGATTTAATTTTGAAACAAATTTGTTTCAGGTAGAATAACTAAAATTGAGATTCAGACAACGGACCGGTCCATTTCTAAACTGAACGTCTTACCTGCTTTTAGGCGGACAGGCCATCTTCTTCTCTAATTCGCATGTAGAAGAAATGTGTTGTAATGGAGAAAGAGTAACAAGGCACGTTGTCTCGTCACACGTTACGTTCGAATACATGCATCATGCGTGCATGCATGCATGTATGTATGTATGTGTGTTCATCTCCACTGTCTCAATCTTGTCTAACTTGTTACGTCTTTGTTGAATGCGTTTTTTGTCCGTCTCCTATATTAAATTACTTCCTGGTTTTGTTAAATGCACTATTTTAATATATATGATTATGTATGTATCTACATATGTATTTACCAAAACACGTAGGTACGAATGTATATATATATTATTATTTATTTTAGAGTAAATTGATGGATTTAATAAATCTTTTATGTAATTTATATTTATATATATTACATATACTGTTGAGGAGTTATATATGAAAAAACACACTCACACAATATTGCGAAATAAGAATTCCCAAACTGATTCTATTTTTTTGATAAGAGTCAAGTACACTTTAAAGCTTTCCAAGTAATACTCACTCACACTCGTTTCACTCCCCCTGAGCAGAATCCCGTATCACAAGAAATTTTATCAGCCCCCAAATACATTGTGTGCAACGCACACCCCGTGTTACCCCAGATCTAGTCTAGGCTCAGTAAATGGTTCACCTGTTGTTTCAAGGCTCCCCTCAAGTGTACCTCACTTTCTCTCAGATCACTCTCACCAGTGTTTCCCGTACAAGAACTCTTAACCTTATTACAGAAACCTTTTCTCGAATCTTATTCTCGCCAAGTTCTGTAATGGAGTCTTACACCCCTTATAAACTCCTTCTTGTGCTTGTCGTAATATCCTCTCAATATTTGTCTTGCCTTTTCTTCATTGATATAAATGTCCTGTTTCCTTTTCTTGCTTCTTTCCATGTTCGCTTTCCAAATTCAGCTCCAACCTTCCATTTGTCAACTCGAACCTTCTAGATGTTGAATATGCTCTTTTCTTGCTTTAACATTCTCCCCCTTTTTGACTTTCTGCTTAAACACACTCAAACTCACAGAACACACGGTCGCAATTCATAGCAAGTAATTCATAGCATCATAAAGAAGTTTGAAGAATATATCAACAGATTAAGTCCACATAACACATAGCAGATGATAACAGACACGAAAGGGAAAGCAAATAAACACTAAGCATATGATAAACACTAAGCCACTTAAGTCCACTTCACATCCAGGAAGTGTTATTCACTCAGATTCAGCATCTTCAGAGTTTTCTTCCTCGATTTCTTCCTCAGCATCACTTTGTATTTCCTCCACCACTTTTCCTTTTCCTTTGTCCTTAGAACTTGACTCATTCGCTCCACTTTCTCCCCCTGTGTGGATAAGCAGAAACTAAAAAATATGAGCATGAGTTCAAACAGAGAACATACCTGTGGGAGGTGATTGAGCAACCATTACTCTGAAACTCTTCCCGAAGAGCGTGTTGTTTAGCACGAATCTGAGCGACAACTTTGGCATTCTTTCTATTTGACTCCTCCACTTGACGCAACAATTTGTCATGTTTCATCAGTAGAGCAAACGTCTTGCTGCACAGTTGCACACGGCTCAGCTGTGCTCGTTGAACTCTGGACTCAATGATCAAAGGGCGCTGAATGACTTCAGTGATTTCGGAGTCTGCAACAATTTCAGGACTCTGTCGCACAATGATACTCTGAATAAGACAAGGGTGATGGAGCAAGTAACGAACTCTCATATCTTCAGCTCGAGAAAGTATATGACTGTAGATAATGCTTCCTAGGTTGACTTTATCCTTCCTCAGAAACATGAATATCAACATGGCCAGTTCATCCTGAATCATATCAGTTCGGCGGGTAGGAAACCAATTTGTTTTACCAACCAGAAACATGACTCGACTTTCAAACTTAAGGCTGGCAACTGGCATTTTTCCACTTCTTCCTTCAACATATTCACCCGTGAGAGAGACTTCTAAATCCTCAAGTGTAGTTCCAGTGGGATAGTCTTCCAAACCTTGATCTGAGTCATCAAGCGTTCCCAGAAGTTTGTTGATGACTGTGGGAGAGAATTCAATGAACCTTCCTCGGACAAACGCCTTGTGATACATTTGATCTCCAGGAATATCAGTCCTTGGAGTGAGATTCGAATAGAATTCTCGCACGAGCCCTTTGCTGAATGGGCATGCATAGGTCATTGTTTCGGTTAACTAACGCTCCACAAACAGTTCCCAGACTTGATTTTTTCGGAAATCCATTACATTCACATTCCTCTCAGCAATGACTTCAACCCCCTTGAACTTTTCAAATCTCTTCTTGGTTTCAACAGACAAGAATTTCTCTGAGAGGGGTTTGAGAGAAGAATCACTTGATCTGCTAGCCTGAGCAGTTGATTTAGAGGTTTCCCCTTTCTTTTTCTTGGACACTCGCCGTTTCGGGATTCTGCTAGGGCCTTCTGAAGCGTCTTTTGCATGAGCCAAGGTGGTCTTGCGTTTCGTCATAGCTCTACCCTTTGCCTTTCGTTGGAAGACTACTCAAAGGATAGTCAGAATCATCAGAACTGACAGGAACTGGAATCTCCTTTGCACGAGATTGAGTCTCGATGCCCTCCTCCTCCTCTATTCCCGGTAATGAGTCATCTAGGGCTTCAGTAACTGTGCGCTCATCACTTTCCTCCTCTGGGTCCTTAGCCTCATCAGTTTTAGTTTCCTTGACTGAATCTTCATCCATACCGTCATGTCGTTCAGGATGGTCGCTATCGACTTGAGGCATCTCCACTTGTACTTGCTCTGTTGTCAGATCGTTCTCAGACAAATCCTTGTCCTGTTCACAAGTCTTCGCATGGGTGATCTCAGCCGATGCATGTGCAGATTTTTGAGAGGAATCTGCTTCCAGAGTCGTATTCTCGGCTGATCCTTTCTCCGAAATTTCGCCTGTATTCATAGGCACAGTTTCTTCGACAATCACAGGAAGTTGAGGGTTACCTGATTCGCTAGATTGACGAGCAGCGTGTCTAGCAGAGCGTCTTGTTCCCGGTCGAACAATCTTTTCAGTCTTCCTATTCGCCATCTGTGAGAGAATCTCTTTCTGAAACACAAACCCGTGAATTCCGAACCACTAAAGAGAGAGAAACAGAGAGAGACTTGATCGTGGGTGAGCCAAGAGAGCGATAAATTAGGGCACATTTATAAACTTCTTTCCTTTGTTGCCGAGATTCAAATTTTGAAATTAACTTAATTATTTTTCAATTCCCGCTGAACCACAATTAAGCATATTCAAAATACTAACCCTTTTCAATAATCACAGGTCTGTTAGAAAGCGCAAACCGTAACTCAACACAACACAAAAAAATGATTTAAAAAAACGAGATTAGGTTGAGTATACCTGTCAGTGAGATATTTTCTCCGCATAAATGAATTTGACAGTCAGTTGCACTTCACATATTCTCAGATTCTTCTCAAGCCGTATACAAATTTAAACCAGTGTGCATAGCAACCTGATTCTGAACTTCTAGGACGTTGTATCGATAGATTATTCTCACCATTAAGGTCCAGACTATCTCGTTTAGAGATATACTCATGTGAGATACATCAGCTCACAGCGGAGTATTTAGACATTCTTGTAATCACCCACATGAGATTTGCATCCCATTTTCCCTTTCCATTTTTTTTTTGTTTTTTTGTTTGTTTGTTTTTTTTTCAGCCCTTAGACCATCGTATAGAATTCTATCTCTCAACTTAGACCCGAGCACCTCATAAGTTTACTCATATCATGGTTGCTTCAAGTACAAACTCTTGGCAGTATACCACGAAAGAGGAGCAACAGAATCAGTTATTTAAATCTGCATTCGTGAGATGTACCTGAGAATTAGTGAAGTGCTTCTGATCGACATTTCCATCCCTTTGAAGTCCACATCCACCAGACCTGTACCCTTTCCTGCACTTCTCTTTTGAAGATTTAAGAAACCATTTAGAGTTCCCCTACACCGAGGGATTTTTGTAAACCAACAAACCTGTTCATATCTAGAGGTTTAGTAAATATGTCAGCCAATTGTTTTTCAGTAGAAATATACTCAATGATTAAGTTTTTCTTCTCAACTTGTTCTCGTAGAAAATGGTGACGAATCTCAATATGTTTAGTGCGAGAATGTTGAACAAGATTCTTTGAGATATTTATGGCACTCGTATTATCACAGTATGCAGTAAAGAAGGGTAAGATGATACCGTAATCCAAAAGCATCTGACGCATCCATATGAGTTGAGTGCAACAACTTCCCAAGGCTATATACTCTGCTTCAGCTGTGGATAGAGATGTAGAATTTTGCTTCTTGTTGTGCCATGCAATCATGTTGTTTCGAAGGAAGAAGCAACCTCCAGAAGTACTTCGGCGGTCATCAGCATGACCTCCCCAATCTGCATCACAAAAGCCCACCAGCTCACAGCTTGTATCCTTGGTGTAGTGCAGACCATATTCCACAGTTCCTTTCACATATTTAATGATGCGTTTAACTGCCTGCAAATGAGATTTTTTTGGCTTGGCCTGATACCTCGCACAGATACCCACACTCAAACACATATCAGGTCTACTTGCAGCCAGATAAAGTAGACTTCCGATCATTCCTCTGTATAATTTAGTGTCAACATCTTCTCCATCTTCATCTCGAGTCAGCTTTGTTGTAGTGGACATTGGAGTTTTTGCTGACTTACTCCCATCTAGTTCGAACCTTTTGACTAGGTTTCGAGCGTATTTGCTTTGAGAGACAAACATCCCCTCATTTGTTTGCTTCACTTGAAGTCCGAGAAAGAAACTCAATTCGCCAGACATGCTCATTTCAAATTCATCAGTCATCATCTTGACAAATTTATCCACTTTCTTCTGAGAGACAGAGCCAAACACAATGTCATCAACATATACTTGAACTACCATCACGTCTCCATCTTCATTGTGGATAAACAGAGTCTGATCTACTCCCCTCTTTTGTACCCGTGATCAATTAAAATGAAGTCAAGCGTTCATACCAAGCCCGATGCGCCTGTTTGAGGCCATACAGAGCCTTCTTCAATCGAAAAACATGATCGGGGAAGTGAGGATCTTCGAAACCAGTTGGTTGCTCCACATAAACTTCCTCTTGAAGCACCCCATTGAGAAATGCACTTTTAACATCCATTTGATAAAGTTTAATGCCCAGATTGCAAGCAACACCCAGAAGTAAACAGATAGATTCCAATCGAGCCACGGGTGCAAAAGTTTCATCAAAGTCGATTCCCTCAACCTGAGTATATCCTTGTGCAACTAGATGCGCCTTGTTACGGACAATCTCTCCATGCTCATTCGACTTATTTTTTAACACCCACTTTGTCTCGATTACATTAGTATGAGAAGGACGAGGAACCAAGTACCAAACATCATTGCGCACAAACTGTTCCAATTCTTCTTGCATAGCTTTCACCCAGAATTCATCTTGCAATGCCTCACAGACTTTCTTAAGCTCAAATTGAGAAGTGAAACACACAAAGCGAATCAAGTCTTTATAGTTGATGCGTGTATTACCTCTCATTTACCGTGGACCATGAACCTCCCCGATGACGTCTCCTGGAGAGTGATTGCGATGAACAGCTACTGGTGGAGACGTTGGTGGTACGGACTCAGTCAAAGACTCTGTGTCAGATACAACATCTTCTGAATCATCCTGGTCAATTGATTCTGACTTAGAAGGAAGTAGATCTGGATTCAGTTGAGTAGGGAAAAGGGGAAGCGATACAGCAGTAGACTCTTGAAGATTATCTTCATCGAAAACAACATTTGCAGATTCCATGACCGTCTTGGTGCGTAGATTAAATACTCTGTAAGCTACAGAATTTTGGGCATACCCAAGAAAAATTCCTTCGTCGCTTCGTGCATCCATTTTCCCCAAATATTCTCTGTCATTTAGGATATAACACTTGCACCCAAAAATGTGAATATACTTAAGAGATGGAACTTTACCTTTCCAGATCTCATACGGGGTTTTCGGCATGCCAGGCCGAAGATAAATGCGATTTATCAAGTAACACGTTGTACTCATTGCTTCAGCCCAGAATTTGATTGCTACATCTTTAGCATGTAGCATTGACCGTGCCATCTCCTGCAACGTTCTGTTTTTTCTCTCAACGACACCATTTTGCTGAGGTGTTTTCGGAGCTGAGTATTCATGAGAGATGCCATGTGTATCACAGAAGTGCTGGAACATAGCATTCTCAAATTCTCTGCCATGGTCACTGCGAATACGTTGAACAGTTCCATTTCCATTCTTCAACTGGAGTATTAAATGCTGAAAAGCTATACAAGCCTCTGATTTCTCTCGCAGAAACCTTACCCATGTAAAGCGCGAATAGTCATCCACACACACCAGAACATACCTTTTGCCACCAAAACTTTCGGTCTGCATAGGTCCCATCAGGTCCATGTGAACAAGCTCTAGTATGTGTGATGTATGTATATCCTCAGTCTTCTTATGCCGTATTCGAACTTGTTTTCCAAGTTGACAAGCCTTGCAGACAAATTTATCATTGTGAGAAAGTGTTGGAAGATCCCGAACAGCACCTGACTTGGAGAGCTTGACCAATGTGCGCATGTTGATATGCCCCAATCTTTGATGCCACAAGTCCATTTCATCTTTCTTCACAACGAGACATGTTTGCTGAGGCACAGTGCGCTGAGTGTTCACCCAAGTATAGCAGTTGTTAGAATTTCTCATCCCTGTTAGAACGCACTTGTTGTCTGTATCCGTCACAAAACATGCATTCTTTGTGAACTTGACTCGCATTCCATTGTCGCAGAGTTGACTAATGCTGATAAGATTTGTTTTTAGACCCTGTACAACCTTGACATCATTCAATCTTGGAAGGCCAGCGTGATCAAGTTTTCCTTTGCCCAATATTTTTCCTTGTTTACCATCTCCGAAAGTAACACTCCCTCCTTTCTGAATTTCTACAAAGTCTTTCAGAAGATCTTGACTTCCTGTCATGTGTCTGGAGCATCCACTATCAAAGTACCAGACCCCTGCAATGTTGTTTTGCTCCGTAGTGTACGCAACATTGCATCTGATATCCGATTTTTTAACCCATATGAGATTCCAAGTAGGATAATGATAGTGTGGTGATGTATACATGTAGACATTCTTGTTTCTTTGTAGATAGAAACAGTTTCGTCGAATGTG